CCTACCATAAATAACAAATAACAAAAAAAGTTCAAAGACCAGCATAGTTGTTTACTAGTTTGGATGGCTGATGGAATGAAGACATGGGAATTGTTAGGAACCAAATAAAGGCCATTAAGGCCCATCAAATAGTTCCCTCTTGCCTTATCCCTCTTCCCATTTAGCCCCCCTGCCCCTCCAATCCTCTTCCTGCACCCCTTTCTCTCTTGTACACTGTTAAATCTGACTCGTTAGTTTTAAATGTTTTGAAATACTGGTACATTAATCACTTGTGTTTGCACACTGTTTATGTGGGTTGTTGGTCATGGTCTGTAGTTATACTGGCTGTCTCCCTTGCTTACTTAAAAGTACAATCCAATTGAAAATAAAGATTTTGCAGGTTTGCTCATTTCACACAGTGATAGCAGCTGGCAAGTGTCTTTTGCAATTCATCAGAGGCCTCCCAGACCACCTGCTCTTGGCATCCTGCAAACAGCTGGCTCTGTGTAAGTACCATAAGCTATTATCTTACTCAATAAATAATGAAATAAAGAAAGCAGGACAAAGCCATTTCTTTGTAAATAAAATAAGTCCATTGCCATCCATCCCTCCTCTTCCAGCAAAGAAGCCTTCAAGTTAAGATAATTTGCTGTCTAAGCAACACCGCACATCAAAATATTGAGATAAATCAACACCAAAATCTAATGCACTTTATTTTCTTTATAAAAAATCTGCTGCATTTCTGAAAAGGCCATAGGGAGCTTTTGTGGAATTTCAGCTAATGTCACCAGATGTCCCACTTTTCAGAGGTGACTCTGTTTTCTAAGGACTGCCCCTCTTAACTTTTTAACTATGAACTTTTGTCCTCTATTTGTAGTCCCAGCAGTAGACTCCAGGTCACTTCCCCCTCCTGGTGCTGTGCTATACTGCAGCAGTATCTTCTAGCAGCATGGGGGTGTGCTGCTGATCCACCAGAGAGGAGATGGGCCACAGACTGCCACTGGGAGCAGAAGAGTCAGGGGCAGCTTGAGCTCAGAACTGGTAATGGATTGCTATGATTGGATAGAAATCCCAGAGCTATGAAGGAGAACTAGACAGCAATGTCCCAAAATCTTCCCAAGGATGTGTCTAGAATTTAACATGAAAATACTGCATTTTGGAACAAAACCCATGTCTAAGAGAGGCTTTTTTAAATCTGGGAATTCCACAAGGTGCATCTAACAGATTTTTGTACTATGAATAAAAGTAACAAATAAATGCAATCTGTTGCATGAATGATTTATACCACCCCATTTTAAGTTTAGGGACTATTTTGTTAATGGCCTCCTGTTTTGTGCTTGCTATAGCTTGAGGTTGCAAGTGACGGCGGTTAGCTATCTAACGACCTGAATTGGGAGGACAACTAGGAAGTTCAGTGTCTTGCCATGGTTTGCAAACACAGGGCCACCCTTCCTCATACACAGGGAGACCTGATGCTGCAAGCAGTCCCTTTTTCTTTAATAAAAACAACGAGGAGTACTTGTGGCACCTTAGAGACTAACAAATTTATTTGGGCATAAGATTTCGTGGGCTATAACCCACTTCATCAGATTTTAGCCCACGAAAGCTTATGCCCAAATAAATTTGTTAGTCTCTAAGGTGCCACACGTACTCATTGTTTTTGCTGATACAGACTAACACGGCTACCACTCTGAAACTTTTGCTTTAATGGCAGTGTTCATGGAGTATGATACTACTCAGTGTCAGCAAGACTGACAGAATTTGACTCAAATTCAAAAATTTCAAAAAATACTCCAGTTCTGATTTCTGTAACATTTTGTTTATACCATGACAGCATCCATGGGGTGAGTTGTTAATAATATTTAACACAGACCGGCTCAGGGGTGCTGGAACAATTTGTACAGTGGGGGTGCTGAGAGCCATTGAACCAAACTGTAAACCCCGTGTATGATGGAATCCACTTCAAACCAGGGGGTGCTGCAGCACCTCTAGTTCCAGCACCTGTGTACTGGCTTGACTGACTAGAACTACCCCCTGCACAGGCTACCTGGACACGGAGCCATACACCAGCCCCATTAGTAGGTAGCTGTGGGCTGAGATGGATGGGATGGGGGATGGGTGGAGCCTGGGCTTTGACCAGTGCACCAGCCTGCACAGCTGGACTGAGGTAGAGTGCTGTATTTGCTTCTGGTATAGGTCACTACCCTCCCCACTACCCAAGCAAGGGGGAGGCAGGAGCATATTGTGCCTGCTGGGGCTATTTTTGGGGTGGTGCTGCTGCTTATGCACTGTCCCTTACTCAGAGCAGGGTCAAAAAGCACAAGCTACCCCATATCGTTTTATAGACAAAAAAATAGTTTCTCACAACCCTTACTGAAGATGGGGAAACAGAGGTTAGAGAGGCTGAGTGACTTGTCAAGATCACAGAGAAAGTCAATGGCAAAAAGCTGGGATCACAATTCAAGAGTTGCTCCCAGTTCCCCACCCTGTGCTCTGAATTCTAGCGCATTCCTAGAATGGGTCTGTTTGCTGTAAGAGCAAGGACCATTCATAAGAGGAACTAGAGAGGGAATGGGGGAAGAGAATGACCATTGAGGTAATCCACTTAGATGCTCCCATTCTTCCGCCCCTCCCCCAATTTATTGCCCCTTGCTCTCTAGGCTTCCTCAGGCAAAGTCTGGCTGGATGCATTTTCCTTTAGCGTTTTTAATTGCCATGTAAATGTAAGCTCAGTGCACTTCACTCTATGCCTCTCCTGTTCTGCTGTCTTGGACAGGAGGTGCTCAATGTGATGGAGGAGCTGGATGTGGAGCACTGAGCTGCAGGTCAGGAACAGCAGCTCTCCATCAGCCTGGGTCATGAAAGAGCACTATGGTGGCATCCCATCCCCTTATGTATTAGGGGAGCTTGAAGAGAGACAGAAGGGGAAGGAGAGGAATGAGTGAGGGGCAGAGACACCTCTCTGAGGAGAGGAAGAGAGATAAGGGGATAGCAAAGGGAAGAGAGGAGAATCAGAGGGACAGGCAGAAGAAATTCAGAGAGATCAGGGAGACATGGGCAAGCTCAGGAGAGGAGAAATGACGCCCTCCCCCCCATAAGACACCAGAGTGGGATGGTCCTGTCATTGCCTCCCCCAAAGTATCTTCTGATGATATGGTAGCAAAGAGGTAACTGTATGGATAAGCATCGAACAGCTCAGGTGCCTCTGTGAACCCACATAGGCCCCACAACCACCCCAGAGAGACCCTGCCTCCCCAGGAAACAAAAAAGCAGAGGAGAGCCAGGGTCTCTTTGGGGTCGCTGTGGGGCCTCTTTAGGTTCATAGAAGCAGATGAGCTGTTTGATCCTTACGCAAGCCAATCACAAATACCAAACACTTTGAGGTTCCCCAGTCATGGTATTTTATGGGTAATTTTGCCATTAGGGCGATGAGCATTGCGAATTGGTTACTATGTATTTTGGCAGTGTCACTGGGCCTGAACCAGAACCCCAGTCCCAAGTGTCCCTCTGCTTTGGGTATCAGCTTCCCCCACCTCTCTTTAATTTTCACCTTTTTCTCTTTTTGCCACTTAGCATTTTCTGAAGCGCATGGCTGGAAGCTATGGTTTTATGATATTTTTAATATGCTGCATGCTTATTAAAAGAGCACCTTATAAACCTTCAATCTTCAGTGAGCCCCCTATAAACTGGTTCTGTTTTACATCAACAGGCTTCACATTTTTCCTGGCCATCATCCCCACCCCTTTTAATAAAACAAGGCAATCTCCCGTAAGGATTTCTCTTGTGTATGCTGGTGCAGCCTACTCAAAATTCAAGACAGAATGCCTTTATTTTATTATTTCACCAAGACTAAAATCCTCAAGATACTATTTTCAGTTTTAAGAGCAGCCCGGGTAAACAGTGAAGTTGGAATTAAGAATGTCACTCTTGACTCAAAGAAACTTGAATAAAATGAACTTGGGACGTAGTATAACCTAGCCAGGAGCACAGAAAATAAGCTAATAAAAGCAAGGATTTCATTACCAGCAGGCCTCAACTAAAACTCTGGCTCCATACACTCAAAAACTGTGACAAAGTTCAAATCTGAATTTTGTTCTGCCCTTATCCATATAATGGGTTGAACCAAAGCTTTGGATCTAAATATTGAGGAGTATGGATTTACATCAAACCTTCGACTCACTCTCGTAAGTAGTGAAGGATGACCCTCAAAGGATTGGAACGTTTGGTTTAAACCATCCTCCAACAGTCTGGATGCCTCTCTGAAACATAACTGAACTGCCCAAAGCTCTTTGGTCTGCAAAACTGGGCTGGAATTATTATAACTGGCTTTTTGTGAGATTTCCAGTCCTTCCTACTTCCAGTCAGGCCAGAAATACTATAGGAGCACCCTTTCTTGCATTATTTCAGCCCTTCTGTTTCTGGCTGGATACTATAATATCACATATGTACATTATGGTAGTGCCCAAAAACGCTAACCAAGATTGGAACCCCATTGTGCCAGGCACTACACACACACAGTAAGAGAGTCTTTGCCTTGAAGAACTTACCTTCAATGTCCCCTAATCAGCAAGGTTTGTAGGCATGTGACCATTCCCATTGACTCAATGGGACTACTCACCTGCTTAGAGTTAAGCAGGTGCTTGCTAAACCAGGGCCCAAATAGACAAGGCAGACAAAGGATATAAGAAAGGAAGTATTATCTCCTACAATTATTGTTGATGTTATTTTTATTTTTATTATTATTATAATTACTAAGATGTTAAGTATCATTCTCACTTGTGTAGGCCTTTTAAAGTATCTCCTGAGCTCTATATTCCATGTGAGGGGCTACAGTACTTATCTCCCTTTTCTCGAGTGTTATCATTAACAAGGAAATGTGGCATAGCTGTCTGCAAAAGCAGTTGAAGCCCACATACTTTAGTTAAAAACTGAAAGTAAATGGAAGCTCTGGAATATCAATGGGAGGTAGCACTCCAGCTGCTGGTGCAGCACTGTTAAT